TTGGAAGACATTCATTAAAAGATCTTTCATGCAAATATCTAAGCTCTTGCTCCTTAAGTTTTTTAAAACAAGATTTTTTTTAACTTTTTCTATTTTATATATACAGAAATCAATGACCCCCAAGGTGGGCCAATTTTGACCCAAGGGCTTTTATTTTAACAAACTTGGAAGACACCTACTAGAAGATATTTCATGATTAATATCTAATTTCTAGGTCTTTTAAAGAGAGGATTTCTTTCAATTTTTACTACATACATATAAGGAAAATAGCCCCCGGGCGGGCCAATTTTGACCCCAGGGCTTTAATTTGAACAAACTTGGTAGACACCCACTAGAAGATGTTTCATGCCAAATAGCTAAGCTCTAGCTCTTTTGGTTCTTTAAAAGAAGATTTTTTTAAGTTTTTACTATATGCATATAGGGAAAATCAATGACCCCCTGGGGCGGGGCCAATTTTGACCCCAGGGCTTTTATTTGAACAAACTTGGTAGACGCCCATTAGAAGATGTTTCATGCTTTGTGACAGGTGATCTAAAAACTAGTAGTTGAAATTCAATACAACTTCATACAATGATCAAACGCAATGAGAGGAATTGCACTGTACAATAACCATAACTCCATCTTCAGTATTTGTAGAGTTTTTGCCCTTTGTTCCTTTTCCTTGTCAGGTGCATAACTAAAAACTAATGTTTAGAATTCAATGAAACTTCATTCAATGGTCAAGCGCAATGAGAGGAGGTGCAACATACAAGAACTACAACTATCTTTAATTGCCTAAAACCATAACTCTATTTCAGTTCTTGTGCAAGGTATTCTGTTACAAGTAACTTCTTCATTTTCCAAGCAGTCTTGTGGGGGTATTAATCACATTAAGTTATAGTTCTAGTGTACTTTCCATTCATGATTTGTTTATTAAAGAAGAAAAGGTCGCTTTGAAATGTCGCTCCCTACATTCTTTCAGATATGTTAATATATTTTCTATCCTTGAAGATCGTTCGGCACGACATAATTATTTTGTTTGTGGTATTTCTAGTGTCTTCTTCTTGACATTTTTTCTGTGCGGTTTCAGTATTCCTACTTGTTTTACTCTAAGGATATGTTGTCTGCTTTTAAAATATTTCTTTTGGCGGCTTGTCAGTGATATGCAGGCCTTTTAACCTTAATCATCTTTCAAAATTCAATTTTATCAAGTTTTACCGCCGTATAAACACATGTACGGACGTTTCTTAATTTAAAAATTTCACTAATTCATGTTAATGTCTCGCGAACGCTCACAGATAAAAAAACATACAAAGATATGCACGTATTGGTGTTCAATACAGCTTTTAATGACTAATCTTAGCAATATTTAAATGTATTTTGTTTAATTTTATGTAATACTGTATGACCAGATGAATATGAATTGGTCTGGCTAACGAACAATTTCAAAGTCCATTGAACTAAACATAGACTAAGAGCAAGCCATGCCAGAAAAAAGCGAACACACTCCTCATTTGGATTGGATAAATGATACCAAACCAAATTTTTTTAAAAAAAAATAAAATTGGCATATTAAACTTTATAAAGGGTTCCTTTAAAGGTAAGGGGCCCTAAAAAGAATAGTTCCATACTAAGTTAGTAGCAGGCGATTATTTGGGAAAACCACAATTCCGGAGGGGGCCTTTTTCTTTAAGCATGACTTTGATAAGGATCCAAAAAAAGTTACCGCCAAAAATTGGATCGGCGATCAACTCGTCTCGGCAAAAGGTATATTTCACCACTTACAGTTTATTTTTTTATAGAGTAAAAACATTAGTTAAAATACACGGTTGCCACAAGTCATAAATATGAGGAAAGTTCAATGAATAATAATAAACTATTTGAGGTTTTGAAATGATTTTATCTTAAAAAATTGCCAAGAGTTTTGTTTACTAGCAGTACTTTAATAATATAAAAGAATAATGATGTTGTTTCCGTGTATGATTTTGGTATACATGTTTACTATTTTATTTCATTTCACCAATTTATACATTTCTAGCACCAACATGTATTCTGATTAAACCGGATGGGAAAACGTTGGATTCATTCGGATATAAGGCGGAGACCAAGTATGCGGAACTTGCAACTTCCGGAGATTTAAGATGATGCTTTATGATAAGATGGTAATCCTTATAATCTGTTCTTGGATACTGCATATTTAGATATGTTTATATTAATATTTTTGCTACAATTTGCATGCAATGTGATGTCGAATTTTTCTGTTTGCTTCGTTGGGTTTTAATTTTTACCGACACCGTAATGTTTACATGGAAATTTTCAGCATCTGAGTAGAAACCTAGGCCTTCCGAACCAAACGCTAATTGAATAGCTTCCAAACAGTCCAAGTTATCTGACGAGATTCGAACCTAAAGCGGTGCGTGGCTAGCGCTGTGTGATGAGATATAAATATTACTAGTATTAAATATCCAGGAACGTTTCTTTAGAACTTTGTCTTTTTTTTTAAAAAAAAAAACATAAATAGACCAATTCTAAGAAGGTAATATTCGTCTTTGATGTCTTTATTGTTACACACGAATCATCTTTGTTAATTTCTTTCTCATATCAATACATGTATATTAATTGCTGAAACCTATTGCGGCCGTTTTGAGTTAAAAGTTAGAAGGAAACTTTTGAAACCTAGATATTAGATCTTTGACCTTATAACATGGATCTTAGTAGAACTTATGTCTTAGTTCTTAGAACTAGAGGTTCCGTAAAGACAGGAAAACGCCATATTGACTGCGAGATAGACATGAAGATGTATGTGAGGTAGTAAACTTCTAATTCTATTTCTTTAATTTTTATATTTTTCACAAATTACAGAGATAGAGTACCTACCTGTTTGTCCGCGCATACAAACACACGTCCTAACTAGTCTGAACGGCAGGCGCATGTTCAGAAGTATCGCGTGAAAATCAGTTGTTATGGTCCTTCTGATCAAAAGGCCAACGCAAAGGCCGATACATCGAACTTTCTAACACTGATACGTTTCTGTGCCGTTATATCTGAAAAATTGTTGAAGCAATGATTGTGTTGAATCAGTTCCTCTATCGCAATAAAGGAGCATAGGGGCAATTCCTATTTTGTTTAATTTGTCAGGGTAGTATGACGCTATCACTCTGGGCGAGTTGTTGCTAATTGATACTTCGAGCCATAAAATGAGTTCACTCAACAGATCGCTACGTGGATGCAGGATCAACATGACTACAAGAAAACTTCAATGTGACAATTAAATGCCATTCCATAAAAAGCGGCGTATGATCCCGAAGTATAAAAATGATTGTGCCCTAAACGAGAAAATAATAGGCGGAACTAAACAAAATGGAATTTTGAAAGGGGATCCGAGGTTATGAAGCCTGGATATCACAGATAAGCGGTCAAAATACCAATTTAAAAAGCAGGCCACATATCCTAAGGGTGATTATACAGTATTCAAGTATGGAATACTGGAACCACACAAGCAGAAAAAGCCAAACTGAAAGAACTAAAATACCACAAGCACAACAATTATGTCGTGTTGAACATTCTTTAAGGATTGTTACTGGTGTAATAACAAACAGCCAAATTCCAAATTTCCATGTCAATTTAGAGACCATTATCGTCGTCCGGAAAGGAATGAAGAAGATTATGCAATAGGAAAGTTAATCAAATTATTTTAATACACATAAGAAAACCGACATTTTTTAATTATTTCAAAACTAACAGATACACAATTTTAAATACTGTTCTAAATTTGATAAGTGGGGAATTACATAAATACAGGCAACAGATATCATTTTCATAAATTTTATCCCTCATCGTAGAATTTTTTGATAGCAAGGTTCGGCTAAAATATCTAAAACTGGCTAAAATAGCCAATAATAGAGTTTGTCCCAGTCTGTTGAAGATCGATTGGACGACATTTGCCTCCTATTGAAATTGACTGTTTTATTTACCCGGCCCTAGTATATTAGATATAATCACTAAATCTTTTAATGCATTAGCTGTATCTCTGCAATTCTTTGAATTGAAAAATGAAATGAAGGAAATATAAAAAAAAGTTCATTTCACATACATCTTCTTGTCCATCTTGCAGTTAATATGGCGTTTTCCCGCCTTTAAGAGCTAAGACCTCAGTTCTAAGATTTAACATCTTAGTTCTAACTACTAACTCAAAACGGCCTCAATGGGCTTCCTAAATTAATGTCTACCTGTTTCTATAAGACAGTACATGTGTGAAAATGTAACAACATTTCAGTGATTTCATGTAACCATTGAAATGATTATGCAAATGATGCATTCCCATATTTGGCCAGTGGTTAGTTAAAATTATCAAGAGATTACACAAAATACCTGACACAAAATACCGAATTAAAAACTTTCCCTGTAGCTTACATGTCACGACTATGAATACATTAGGCTTTTACATCCAAATATCATTAAATACAGGTAAATAATAATTCTTACATTTCGTGATATATATATATATATAATATATATATATATTATATATATATATATATATATATATATATATATATATATATATATATAATGTAAAATGACCAAACAATAATAAATTCATAATTTTCTATATATTATGCTAAAATTTATCTATATAATCAGTTCAATGAAAACTAAAGCTTTTCGTTAGCTTTCGACATTTATTCTTCTCCAGAAAAAAATTGACATTTATCGGAATTTTATATTAACAATCGTATACAGAGCTTCCTCTATTCATTTCTAAATATTATATTGCATTTGTTCTGCAAACAAATTGAAATAACTTTAAAGTATTATCTAAAAAAATGCAATATTTCAAAATCAAACACCGTAATGTAAAGATATAAAATATATCTCTTTTGATTTATTTTTAATTCAATAGCAGTTAGAATGCAGCTTGTATAGAAATTTCATGGAAATGGCAAATTCTTTTTAAGACACTCAGCCGTTTCGATTATAAAAAAAACCCAGATATTTATTATCTAGAAAATTCAAAGGCACGTCATGCTTGAAGATGAAACAGGAAAAAGGTTACCTGCAAAAACAGTGTTCTCACTTGCAATTGAGTTGCTTAAGCGAGATCTTCTGGAAGATTGTCACAAACAACTTGCAGATGACTTATCAGAAGATGATATTAAATGGGTTCTAACAGTGCCTGCAATTTGGAATGATGGAGCAAAACAGTTTATGAGAGAAGCGGCAGAACAAGTCAGTAAATAGTTTCATTTTTTAGCTCGACTTTTCTATGAAAAGGGGAGCTATCCTACTCGCCCCGGCGTCGGCGTCGGCGTCGGCGTTAGCGTCGGCGTTGGCGTCACACCTTGGTTAAGTTTTTCGTACCACCCCACTTTATTTCAGAAGTATTACAAGTATGGCTTTGAAACTTACCATACTTGTTCACCATCATAACCTCCATCTACAGACAAGAGTACATAACTCTGTCAAGGTTTTTGACAGAATTATGGCCCTTTTTTGACTTAGAAAGTGTATTGAGCTTGGTTAAGTTTTTTGTACCACCTCACTTTATTTCAAAACCATTGGAGGTATTGCTTTGAAACTGACCATACTTGTTTACCATCACGACCTTCATCAACAGACAAGAGGACATAACTCTGTCAAGGTTTTTTGACAGAATTATGCCCCTTTTTGACTTAGAAAATACATTGAATATGGGTAAAATCCACTTATTGCCTTAACCCTTTGAGATATTGCTTTGAAACTTTTAATGCTATTTCACATCATTACCCCCATCTGTACGCAAGAGAAGGTAACTCTGTCAAGGATTTGTTTTAAAAATTAAGGCCTTTTATCGACTTAGAATCTTGGTTAAGTTTTTAGTACCAGTCCACTTTTTGACTGAACTGTTTGAGATATTAATTTGAAAGTTGGAATACTTGTTTACAATCATGATTCCCAAACATGTCCAGGAGAAGGTAATTCTGTCAAAGATTTTATTTGAATTATGGCCCTTAACTGTCAATGTTTTGTATTATAGGCAAGCACTAAAAAACTTAAAAAATCTAAAAAAATTCATTCCTATCCACTTGTTCACTTTACCATAAATTATGTCATATAAACATTGCTGTAATATTCAAGGGTATCAAACAACTAGTTCACTTTAAAAATACAGAGATTCTTGTATTGCCTTTTACTGCAAAAACTTTTTTTATTGGCAAGCAATAAAAAAGTCGAGCGCGCTGTCTTACGGACAGCTCTTGTTAAAAGCATATTGTCATTTCAAATAGTTTGATCCGGATGTCAGTTTAGTGACATGGGTCAAATATATTAAATAATTACTACTTTTTTACAATGTTTATATGTATCAAGATTTATTCAATAAGAATTTGATAAAATGACAAGTGTGGTAAACAACATTAAAAACTATCTTACTAAATAACATTGGAAACTATGTTACAGGCTGGTATTCCAAGGTCACAGTTAAAGATTGCACTTGAACCGGAAGCAGCCTCTCTTTACTGTCGATATTTGCCCGTTCAGAAAGGCCATGAAGAAAATTCCTTAGCTTCATTTAAACCGGGAACGAAGTATATTGTCTTAGATGCTGGAGGTAGATCTTTCAAATAATGTTATTACCCTGCTGTCATCGCGACTTGACTAAGTTTAGAGACAAGTGCACAATTCTATTTTAAACATTTGAGAATTGTTTTTTATAAAAATAAGTTTAATATGTTTAATATGTTTATGAAATGTTCATTGCGTCTATATGGTATTGTTGCACGTGAAACACTTAAACCACGCGCAATATATTACCATCATAAGAAAATCATGTTCATGTAAGCCATGTACAATGACGTCTTTACACTAAAATAGTTTGATATACAAATGATAATGAATAAGCATAAGTTTAATACTAAATTTCTTGAACCAGTTGAATATAATCAAGGCTCTGACGAAAAGTAAATTGTTAAATTCAACACATTCAATAAGTTTAGTATTGACACTACACAAGTATTTGTTATAGAGAAGAGCAGACTTTATTTATGATTCAAAAATAATTATTGCTCTTCAGCAACGGCAAGGACACAGGTTTACGAATTGTATAATACGCTCAAAGAAGAATAAAGTTTTCCAATCAAATAACGTTTCTTTAGAACCTGTCTAGGCTCTTGTTCACTCTAAAGTATGTATTCAATTGATTTTCCGTGTAAACTGACCAGCTAAAGTTCAATACTAGTCACCAAACGACTTTCTTAAAAGTTATCATAGAACTTGAAACCATCAAGAAAATTGATTAAACTTGGTATGATTCAGAGATAATACAGTACAGTTCTGTTTGGATATCCCTATATTCACCACCATAGTCAAAAGCTATCGACAGACGATTGCTTGTAGGGAGAGAAAATTTATACATTTTCACGCCCATCATTATGCCTGAACCCGCACTGTACGAGGCTAGGTTGTTTTTGACAAAAACATTATTGTTTTAATTTGAAAAAAAGAAAACTTCCAAAATACTTGTATGAAACAAATATATTAGTAAATTGCCTTTGAAAAAGAATGCCGCGTTCACGAAATCATTGCTAAACAGGCAAAACCCTACTTAAAATAGCAGAATAATATATTGGTCATAAACATTTTATTCTATTTACTTATACTTCGTATGCATGTGTGTTAAAACAGAAAGATTCCTAGTTACCACTCTTTCGAGAATCGCTCATCAAATTATGGGACCAATATAATTTTCTTATTAAAATATTTTTCAAGAATAGTCAAGATATAGCTTTATGTCCTTGCCTCGGAAACAAATAAGTTTTTCTTTCCTTAGAAAGGACAGACATGGGTTTTATAAATTTTGAATAATAATTTTATAGAATGTTACATGCGGAGAGAAGACTGCTGAATATTATTTGTCATAAAAGTAACAAAATGTTAGCAAAGTTGTATATTCACTTCCATACAAAATCAATATAACTTTAGTAACTGAAACAAAAGATGGGTCAGATAATTGGTAAATGAGTAACTTTATGAAAACTCTATGAGAACATTAAAAAAAAAAGCTTTTGAGAAATAAAAATAAAAGCATTTCCGGGGCATAATGAGCCTTTATGAGGATGACTTTTCAACGGCGTCTGTTACTTAAGAAATAATATATCCAAAACAGTGATTTTATCGTTCAATAACATCACTGTTTGGAGTTCGTACGCGAGGAATTATATCACACGAGGGCGTAGCCCGAGTGATATAATGATGCACATCCGAACGACAAACACTTACAATGATGTTATCAAGCGATAAAATCACCGATTTGGATATATCATTTAGATTCTAACACGACATCAACAAATGAATACTGCCGTACCTGATATTAAGCTAAATTGCTCCTGATATGTTTCCGTTTTTATTTTCACTGCGTCACAATTTTAGTGGTTACGTCACGGGTATAATGGTCACGTCATATGTCTAAATATAGAACGTCAAACTGTAATTTTATTGCATAATAACACACACTTTCGGTTCTTCTATGTTCAAGAGCAATAATTGTCAGGCGAAAACTTCTGCAAAAAGAAACTTTAAAACTTTTAATTTATGGTTGCATAGAAATTAAAACTGGATTATATTTATTTCAAGAAAATTGAGCATTTAAGACATTACTACACAAAAATGGTTTCATCGTGTTTGTGTATTTTTACAGACTTTAGGCGATTTTAGGCGAACGAATGTTGACGAAGTAACTTTATTCCATCTTTTACAGATCCAAATTTTACATGTAGCTTGGAATATACCATACTGTACGTGTTTTCAAAATTTTGTATTTGTTTGTCATGACATATGAATAAAGAATATACTTGTTTAAAATTTATTAGGCAAGACTTAGAAAAAAGAAGGGAGATGCTCTGCCGAGCCATTCAATTGTTTTTCGTGCCAAGCCTTGTAAATGTTATTCAAGCCTGGTATTTTTCTTTTTATAACAAAAAACCTTATTAGTGTCCAACTTTATTTGTCATCCAATGGAAACGCTGTATTTCTTCAAAATAATGAGTGTTAATTTTCATAGAAGAACAAAAGTGTCGATACTATATCAAATACTGTTCATAGTCGCCTTCTATTTTTCATAGTGCTTCATAGTATCGCGTTTGTAAAAATAGTCATTTGCATAAATTTGCACATGCGCTTTCGTGGGCCGCTTTTGAATATTAATTAAGTAAAAATGACGTCAAAAGGTCAACCTACATTATTTTTGCATTTATTGATAAAGGATATACATGCAGTTTAGATTTAAATCGACGTCTTTGCGAAAAAAGATACTGCATGTGTTAAAATAAAAACCAATACAAAAAGTCAATTCATATTTTTATTTTACGATTGTAGAAAAAGGTCTTAATTAATTTGTAACTAAGACAGGCGCGTAGCTAGCCTATAAAGAATGTGGATTCAAAATAATCTGGGGGGTCAGGGGGCATGCCCCCCCCTGAAAATTTTGAAATAAATGGTGCAATTTGGTGCGTTTTGGGGCCTCCGGAGAGCTTTCTTGACCAACGAAAGTCCATTTATTTTAGATGAAAAAAATGACGAGCGTTGTGTTTACCAGAAATGTTTTTTTCATAAAAATTCCATGTATCAATATAACTTATCTACCAAGAAGGAACTATTTCAAAAATGCAGAGTAATACGACAAATGCACCAGAATTTTTCACATTTGCATCATGAATTCACTGATTCAGGTTGGTTAGTTCAAAATGTTGTCAGTCTCGCTAGAATCGGTTCACAGACATGGTCAAACATGTCATTACTCAACAAACAGACCGAAACAAATAAACACTAGGCATACATAGTAACATTTTAGTTATATTACCTCTTTTCTATCGCTGATTCTGCTGATGACTTCTTTAAGAACTCGATGTAAACATTTGTTTACATTTCGAAAATACGGCGCGTGCAAACTTCCGACTTTGAAGAGCTGCAAAAGCCGACATTAACTTTTCAAAAAAAATACTACGGTATGGTGTACGATTTAGGCTATATGATTTATAAAGTATTCAGTGTGGTAATTATCAGATCTGGCGAACGCGGCTGAATTTCAAACCACATTTTTTTTACTAAAAAATTTTGTTTTTGTCAAAATAATGTGGATTCAGCTGCGTACTCGCGTATAGGCAGCTATGCGCCTGTAAGAGGAAAGTCACGTGTGTCTAATCACTTTTTTTTTCGGTAGACAGAAAGTGAAAGTAGACATTATTTTTTTTTGGAAAAAATATTACGTGACCTCGTGTTAACACATGACAATTAGTGTATACATGTATAAATCATATAAGATATTAGCTACTGAGTATTGATCAGTTGTCCAATTCATCAAAGTGTATAAATCATATCAGGTAACAATTATCCAACTAATCATTTTTTTTTTTTTGAAAATAAATTTATGTTTCAATATCGAGCAAATGAAAACTCGCATCAGCCATATGCCGCAATTGAAACACAAGGCAAAGTGACGTAAATCATGCATATTTAAAAGGTCAAATTTTAAACCAACCATTCAGGTAATTGTTTTGTAAAGCGGACTGGTAGTGACGTAATAAAATGAATATTAATGAGGCCAAATAAAGTTTGACACTAAATATGTTAGTATTCATCCGTAGCTGTTCTACAGAAACTAGAAACATTCTCCTGTCGCTATCGCTCCCGTCGAAGTTTCTAATTTCTGTAGAACAGCACGGATGAACACTAACATATACAAAGAATCTCTTAAGTTCATCTCGTGTGCAACAATATACAAAATGACATATCGACAAGAAATAGTCCCGAAAATGTTTTAGTCTTGAAATTGCAAGAGAGATTACATCAGTTATTAAAACATAGGCAGGGGAAGATATTTATCTTATTTGAATTTATATTGATGAAGTGTCTACGGTGGCACAAAGGTGGCATGTGTGTTTTTTTATTTATCTCGTGGCCACGAGATACTATGTCGTGGCCACGAGTTATTAAGTCGTAGCCACGAGATAGCTAAGTCTTAGCTAGGAGATACTATGTCGTGGCCACGAGTTACTAAGTCGTGGCCACGAGATAGCTATACGTGGCCACGAGTTACTAAGTCATGGCCACGTGATACTATGTCGTGGCTACGAGAAAGCTAAGCCGTGGCCACGAGTTACTATGTCTTGGCCACGAGTTACTAAGTCGTGGCCACGAGTTACTAAGTCGTGGCAACGAGATACTATGTCGTGGCCACGAGATAGCTAAGTCGTGGCCACGAGATACTATGTCGTGGTCACTAGTTACTTAGTCGTGACCACAAGATAGCTAAGTCGAGGCCAAGAGATACTATGTCTGGGCCACGAGTTACTAAGTCGTGGCCACGAGATAGCTAAGTCGTGGCCACGAGATAATTTACTAGTCAGAATACACTATATATATCATAAATTTTTTAAACTATTACTTTAACATGCAACAATAATCTTTGAAAATACTTAAGATACTTGTCTTTAAGATCATATTAGAAAGTTACTTCCAAGGCCAATCAGACATTAATTTTGACTATAGGTCTTTGTTGGGCAAGTTTGTGATCGAATTGTTCAGTTTGTACGTACCACGGCCTGTTAACCTTGTTTATACAAAAACATGAGAAGGAATTAGTCCTGGTTTATTTTATTTGTAAGGGACATTGCCCATGGACAATAATAGCCTATAAGGTAAAATCCTTGTCTGATGAATAATTTAGAAAGGATAAGCCATGGTTAATGTAACCAAAAAAGATCATTGCACCTCATCGGTAGATGACATCTAATAACTTCGAGGTCATTGTGTCAAAAATCAGGGTCACAGTGACTCTAAATGTAAAATTATTGACAAGTCAATAAGTTGTATATATGACACTTTTACAAGCTGGTGAAGAAGGGTCATCCTTGTACTATAGCACATGTCTAGTTTATTAGGGAAATTCACATAAATGGTGTAATCTGATTGGTTTTTTATCTCGTGGCCACGACATAGTATCTCGTGGCCACGACTTAGCTGTCTCGTGGAACCGACTTAGCTATCTCGTGGCTACGACTTAGTAACTCGTGGCCACGACATAGTATCCAGTAGCCACGACTTAGCTATCTCCTGACCATTACTTAGTAACTTGTGGCCACGACATAGTAACTCGTGGCCACGACTTAGCTATCTCATGGTCACAACTTAGTAACTCGTGGCCACGACATAGTATCTCGTGGCCACGACTTAGCTATCTCGTGGCCACGACTTAGTAACTCGTGGCCACGACATAGTATCTCGTGGACACGATTTAGCTATCTCGTGGCCACGACTTAGTAACTCGTGGCCGCGACATAGTATCTCGTGGCCACGAGATAAATTAAAACACGCACATGTCACCTTTGTGCCATCGTAAGTCTCTGATAAACTTGCGGTGACTAATAAAACTAAGTTTTAAGACAGTGCATGTTATCAACAGAAATCAATGAATTGACATGATGAAAAGCCATTGCTATATATTTGATAAAATGTGCAATTAATATGACACAAAAACAATACTAATACGTGGAAATAAATGAATAAAAAGAACAACAAACTTCTGTGCTACATTTGAACTTCAATGTAACATATTGATATGTAATCCCACAATTATAAATGGAAACTGAACAAGTCCAACTAAGAAACTTAGAGGATTATTGAATATTACGCTATGGAGAATAGTGCAATGTACTTTTATAAATATTTATGAATTACATGTAAAATCCAGGAAGTTTTTTTTTTTCTTTTTTCAATCGTCTGTTGCGAAGTAACCACATTTAGTCTGTTTTTAAGGAACTAAAATAGAAATTAAAGAGAGATATATGAATAACAGAAAAAAGCAAGTTAGACTGTTTTGTGAATTCATTCATAAAATTTTGGGATAGAAACTCAAAATCATTAAGCCATCTATATGCCCTGAAAATGCAAATCATGATGCTTCAAACAAACAATTCTTAAAAATAGTCTCGATTTACGAGTTATGTCATATTACTTAATACTTGAATAGGTTTTATTGATATATATTACTAAACAATCAGCTATATTTGTTCTTGTTTGATTTTCGCAAATACAATATAAATTTACACTGGAAATAAACAGAAAAAAGAGCTTTTTACAATGATTTTTCCATTTTTCCTTGGTTACCGCTATGCGTTTTGGCAATATTCAAATGCTATACTAAAATCTACCTAGATAAAGCATAAATTTTGCCTTGTATTTATATCGGTCACCATCTATTTCAATGTCATTTCAGCATGGCTTATTACTAGTTATTACCAAAATCTTTTATCTCGATTTCTATTTAAAGCAATAAAATGATATCTCAAAACTTATTTTTATGTTTATTCATTTTAAAGGAGGCACTATTGAATATCACGGTTCATCAAGTCATTGTAGATGGTAAACTCCGAGAGTTACACAAAGCTAGTGGGGGGGGCCTGGGGAGGAACTATGGTAGACAAAGCCTACGAACGATTCCTTTCAGATATAGCAGGTATCTACGATTTTCATTAAGTTTTATACAAAATATTTTAAGCATATTACTATACTGTATAAAGCACTCAATCCCTCACAACAGAAAAATGCAAAACATTCATAAAAACGTCTTCATCTACTTATAATAAAAATGAGGCAAATTTGCCAAAAATGATGGTTTGATGCAGATGCTACGGTTCGCATTGCTCGAATGCACTTACAAAAGATTTCAGTTCATATATTATGAAATTACCTGTGTACGTGAACACTGTGTTTGATAGGTTGATATCACCAGCTGGTAAAATCTACCTAATTTTCACAATTTTTAATTTGATAATTAAACAGTTGTCTATGCTTAAAGCGATCATATTTCTAATATTCAATCTATTTATATAGGGCCAGAGACCTTTCAGCAGTTTAAGGAAGAGCACATGGATGATTATAGTGATCTGCTCCGAACGTTTGAGGTCAAGAAACGGGAAACGTCACCAGGTCATTCAGGCAAAGTGACATTTCGCATACCGCCGACATTTGCTGAAACTATCAAAGATGCTACTGGATTGTCGATACATGACAAAATCTTGTCATCACCTTTCAATGGACAGGTTTCATACGTAAGCGGTAAAACTAGAGTTGATGGTCAAATTGCTCAGTCATTTTTCAAACAATCAGTAGATAGTATTGTACAGCATTTAGAGTCGTTATTGGGAGAAAGGCTGAATAAAGAATATACAGCTATTGTTATGGTTGGTGGATTTTCGGAGTCAAACATTCTTCAAGATGCTGTCAAATGCGCATTTGGAAGAAGGTACAATGTAATTATACCAGAAGGGGCTGGTTTAGCTGTCTTGAAAGGGGCCGTTATTTTTGGTCATCAGCCAAGCACAATCTCCGAGCGCATATGCAAGTACACATATGGACAGAAAGTTTGCCATGAAACAACTAGTGCTTGTAATCATCCCCCGACCAGGACAAAATGGGTTGTTGGAAAATTACACTGTTCTGATATTTTCGAGAAACACATAACAATTGGACAGACTGTAAAATTAGAAGAAGAACAAATGGAAATGATCACAAGCCCTTGTTCTGCTGACCAAACAACTATTGGTGAGACAATATATGCATCAAAATTGTCTGAACCCCGTCTAATCACTGAACCAGGTTGTATCAAAATAGGCCATTTTGAAATACATATTCCAGATACTTCACTAGGTACAGATAGAAAATTCGGAACAATGTTTATATTTGGTGACAAAGAGATTGCCGTAAAAACTGAAGATAAACAAACAGGACAAGTTCACATTAACTCAATCGACTTTTTAGAATGATATTTGTTCTGTATTCCTTGTCTGGTAAAGTGAAGATTTTCTTTGTTTAAAACTATTTTTAGTTACGCATATTGTTGTTTTCAATCAATCCAAATAATCATTTGTAAATGAGTTCGACCTGTTTTCCATTGACTGGTTCTATGACGTGGTAAAGAATGAAAATTATTTAACTTTTATCTTCCTTTAATCTATTGCGTATGCTATGATTATAAGTTTCAGTTTTATTTAAGTTCTTTATTTCTTAAGGTGTTTACTTCAAACTTTAAATATAAGTTTCTGGTCATCAACCACATCATATGTGACAAGGTTTACAACTCTAGCACAAAAATTATCAGTATTACCTCCCTTGAACTTAGAATTTTTATGAAAAAAAAAAATGTTGTCTTTTTAATAACTTCTTTATTTCCTAATGTATCTACTTCAAAAATTCATATATATGTTTTTACTTATTATCACTCAACATTTTTGAGAAGGTTAAATACTCTAGCAAGAAACTATTTTCAAGAATTAATGTCCCCCTTGAACTTAGATTTTTTTCGAGAAATTGGTACTTTTTACTCCAACTTCTTCATTCCTTATAGGATTTACTTTAAAATCCCACATCGTAATAATATGACAAGGTTGTATAAACATAATTTCCTTACTAGGCAGGGAAACTTAACACATTACTGTGATATAGACAAACTTAGAACTCAAAAGATTTAAGTTCATTCATGTCATTCATTCACTGGTAAAATTGAATGGCCAATGGCCCATCAGAATGTTGCTGGGGTTCTAACCGGTAGGGGACTTATGGATTGCTTGCAATACTATGATAATTGCTTGTTTTTATTTGTTACTTAAAGAAAATTTACAAAATTTATTACATTGTTTATTTAGAAGAGCTAGAAAGTCAGCCATTTGTTTTATTTTCAACTATGTATGATTTTGATAAAATTGAAACTGGTGATGGTGTACTATAAATGTTGTTTAATTAAGACAAATTACTCCTATTCAAAAAATTGTCTTGTTGAGTTTTTAGATTTATCATTATGCAAGTTAAGTGATATATGTAGCTGTAAGTAGATATTTTCCATATAGCTGGACGAAAGATACTTTCTAAAAAATGGTGGGGAAATTTATGTAAATACTCGTAAATATTGTGATATAGCTGAAGTTATTATGTTTCAACCTCTAAGACAAGAAAACTAATAACCTGACAAAGTGTTTATGACACTCAATTTTGATTTAGAAAAAAAAACTGTTAATCAATTGTTCTTTGTGTTTCTCATTTATTGTATCAAATTATACTAATCATGACAAAATTACATCAGTCATAATAAGCATATAAATTGTGTTTCATGAATTTTAAAACAGTATTTGCTTGTTCTTGTCGGGATGCTTTTTGTTTAAAGTTGTACATGTATATACTTAGTATTGGGTGAAAATGTAATAAATTGTTTAAGATGTAATCATCCAAAAAAAGTTAAATCAGATATATGTACGAGTATTCGATTTTTTTTCATTTATTTATTTATCTATTTACTTGGAACACCGGTATTCTCTTGGTTTATGACAAGGAAGTGAATTTCCGCGTTTTTTCTTCTATCTAGTTACCAGTAGTGGATAAGGTTAATAAATAACTTTTCATGTTTGTATAATATGCACGTGACAGGTTTTGGGTACACATCTGATGACATAAGTAAAAGTCCAAATTTGTATGTTGTTTGTGATGGAACAATGATATAATATTCTTATATGAAATGAAAGTTATATTCAATTCTGCAGATTTCTTCTTTTAAAGACATAAACAAGATCTTGTAAATGATATACAGTTTTTGTTATTATTACCTAGGAAACAGGTTTTTAATTTGCACTCATTCAAGAAGAGTTTGTTTGAACATCATTGGAAGCTTTAATGATATTATTTATCAAATGTAGTTAACATAAATTAAACCGAATGATTCTGCCAACTTTTTATTGTTTTCTAATCTTAGTTTGACCTTAATCTCTGCATCTGAGATTTGGTAAAATAGTACATCTGGTGAAATAGAAAAAGTGCATTCAAAATTCTATGAAATGAAACTGAGTGTAAATATAAGTATCCCTAACACAACATTTTTGTGAACTTGTCTGTAAGCCTTGTATGTTTTTAAATATTTTAAAATGTTGAATGAAAACAAAGTTATATTCTATTTAAGGAAGCCAAAATATTTGAAAAACGATAGTTTGAATGATTGTTATAATGGTAAAACAGACTTGAACAATCAGTTTTATTTTAACCAGTATTGCTTTCATCAAATTTCGAATAATGTTATGCACATAAATGATCAATTGTTTATACCAATGTTGCTCTTGACATGTAGAAAAACAAAATAATTGTGTTTAAGAATTATTTTCAAATAATTGGCAGTCTTTTATTGACACTCAAAGGTCAATTTCAGACCCAAGCTTGTGAGGCCCTTGTCAAGTTTTAGTAACTTTTATCATTGTTACTCGAATGCATAAAATACCATCAAGTTTCGATAAAGTAAAAATTGTCATCCGGCCAAGCAATGCGCGAAATTCTCTCGGCTCTAGGTTTACGCTGTTGTTTTGCATTCTGAGCCAGGGGTCACGCCAGCTGTTATGTATACATCGTCTGTGTTGCAACTCAATAAACGCACGATGGAATACCCGGAACTGTCCGCGTATTATTTTTGCAAGATACAATAATTATTACCCAATTAAACAGCCGAAGTTGTCCCGCTTGTGTATTAAGGAAGTATATTCTATTCTAGGAATAATCGATCAAAGTTGGAGGTGAAGGTTTTAGTACAGTATTTCGGCAGGTAACAATCCTATTTTAATATGTTATACGTTATTTTTATTAGCTTTGTGAATAAAAAAACATATTTTGCCATTTTTTAATATTTCAATTGATAAAAAACGGTGTGAACTTACAGGAAGCTTTTTAATGAGCAAAATTGATCGATGCTAAAATGACATAATAATGATGCAGACGCAAGACAATTGCAAATCAATTGCAAGTTGCTATGTTGTTATGTGTTTGTTTGTTTTTTGTTTTTGCTTTTTAATGTAGAAACTAAAATCCTACAAATATGTTATTACTAGCTACAGTTTTTGAGTATTGATCTTCAATTAAAAACAGGCCAGCAAAGCACGTTAAAAACAACAAAAAAACAATAAGACAAAACAGTAATAAAAAAAAAGAAATCACACAAAAATGAAATGGGAAATATTGAAAAGTCAATTAAGAAAAATTGGTATATGACATTACACTTTTCGATCAAACAAAACCATTGAAATCTAAATTTCAAGTCTCACATTATCATAATTATTTTAAGTCAACCATTGATATTGACAATTATATGTTTTACATCTTTAAATGCATATTGAAATTATGCTGTTTTCAGATCAGCAAATGTTATGAATTTTTAAGGCATTTTATCTTGAATCATTTTGTCTATTTACAATCTTATCTCCAGTACATGTATTTATTATATAGATAATGCAACAAAAATGTATGTCTCTACAGGTAGTACAGATCCGCGCTATCTAAATTCTTGTCCGGTATTACGCCTTTACGTGTAGAGACGGGGAGGAATGAAAATATGCATAGACTCTGTCCTATTTGTAAAATGCAGTTGAAACAGAAATGCATGCATTACTTGAGTTTTCTACATACCAAGCCATAAGACATAGATTGTATGAGGAAGCTAAAAAAAACTTTATTTGGAATGATAATCAAAAATTTGATTTGTTCCATCTATATATTAACGATATTGTTAGAGAAAATGTCAAAACCTGTTAACGAGATCGACCCTTCTGCAAAGATTAGTTATACTGTAACTTTTAATTATACAGGTATCTAAGCTTGGTTTATCAACATGCTATTTTAGTATATTTTATCAGTTTTGTCATTTTTAAGTCAGTCGCAAAATAATGTTTGATCATACCCATAAACCCTTACCTATTTAACTATTTTGGTCATGTTATGTACAAGGTTGTACTTACTTGGTCGTATCCTTTACAATTGTAAACTTACTTGGCCACGTCCTGTACTATCATGTACCTGATCACATCTTATAAAAACACGAACATGTAGTTATGCGCTAGGTTGGTCACGTAACTTACAATCATGTCTTACAATCATGTTCTTGGTCATGTCCTGTACATTATTCATGTTTTTACTTGGTAATATTTTGTACATTCATGTTCTTACTTGGTTATGTCTTCTTACTTAGCAATATCCTATACATTGATGTTCTTACTTGGTCATACCGGTATTCTGTACATTCATGTTTTTACTTGGTCATGATACTCCATTTTGAAATAGTGATTTTAACTTCTCAAAGGGAGAAATTCAGGAGTTGGAAATTATACACAGAAAACTTCAAGAAATATCGGCACGCCGCAGCCGGGACTCGAACCACTGGTCTCAGGATTACCGGTATGCTAACCACTGCATCACAGTGGCCTAATATATATGGTAAGCAATCAACAGAAAGTACATTTTTTGCTACGCTATGATATGTTATACTATCTATTTAATTGATGCTAAAGCGATTAAAGTAATTGAACAATAATTTTGTCTACTCCACACATATTTAGCAAAACATGCCATAGCAAAACATGACATTTGTATGAAAAGGATTGCTAGAAGATAATCACTGATTGATAATTTAAAAACTTTAGATAACAATATTTAAACAGTCGGCTCTTGTTATCTCGAAGTCGCCGGGACCGTCGAAAACATGTCGAGATCGAGATAAACAAACAAGCCATAATAAGGGTTTAGTAACTGATTTGTCTTCATCAGGCACGTACATGTATACCCATTATCTACGTCAAATAAACTGAGTGTAGTGTATTTTTGTCTTGTTTTCTTAAGACTATATGAGTTATTCATTGTGCATAGATCTATCCTTTAATCTTATCACTTTCCAGATAATCACCAGTCAGGTCAGTGTGTAAGAACGCGGTAATTTACAGCTAAAACAAAAAAGTGTCTTTTTGAATTTTAATAATTATGAAGTATATACCGGTATTTATTTCACACAGAACAAGGTATAACATTACTTTTGCAAAATGCTGTGTAAGATTTATGAAATGATTACCGCATAAATGATGATTTTTTTCTGGTCCCATCTATTTATATTATTATATATAATATATATTATAAATTAAATAAATCAATATCAAGTTCGTATTTTAATTGAAATAACAAAATTGTGTCATGATATCAAAAACAGGTGGTGCGCAATAAAGATGTCACTATGCATTGTTTACAAGAATAGTCATTCTACAGCTGCAAAACCTATTTCAGACTTGACTACTTTTTGACAGCTGTATTATTCAGTAGTGTGCTCACCAATATAGATGTAAAATAAACTCATTATATCACCATTTTATGTTTCATTTCGCGCGGACCTTCAGACAAAGTGCAATTATAAATACACCCAATACGAAGATACGTATTTTTTGATGTTTAACCAAGCCTTTTTATTACAATTTTATCACTATCTAAATGTCATTTGGTGAAAATAATGTGGTACTGTATGGTCAATGTTTCTAGTTCTGATCATGATGAATTGGTATAAAATTGATTTAATTCAGAAAACAATTTCACAGTACATTGAACTTAAAGTCTTGAACTTACTCCACTTGTTTTGAATAATTATCCAAAACTACTTTTAATGCAAATTATAATATACGCATTTATCAAAAGCTTTCAACTACTCATACAAACTGCTAACTTCATATATATTTATATTAAGGTAAGCTTTAAGACTGGAAAATGAGTTCTGTTCTTGTAGCAGCGATTGATTTTGGAACGACGTATTCCGGATGGGCCTTTTCTTTCAAGCATGACTTTGATAAGGATCCAACAAAAGTTTCGGCCAAAAATTGGATCGGCGATCAACTCGTCTCGGCAAAAGGTTAATTTCATTTTGTGAAATAAAGACATAAGCTAAAATTAAAGAAGATAAACATGTTTGTCCAAACCCATGCAATTAGAGAAAAAGAGTAAAAACCTATTTTAGTCTTTGAATTTGTTTATAGTATGTTAAATAGATAAATATTAGTTACCTTTTAGAGATTTTGAATGTGTTCATGTTATATAAATGAACATGGTTTTGTTTATTTTTAGTAAAAAGGTAATTTAAAGTAAAAGTTTAATAATGTTGTGTCCGTTTATGATTTTATTATACTTGTTTACTTTTTTATTTCATTTCATCATTTTATACATTTCTAGCACCAACATGTGTTCTGATTAAACCGGATGGGGAAACGTTGGATTCATTTGGATATGCTGCAGAGACCAAGTATGCGGAACTTGCAGTAGAAGGGACTCACAAACCATGGTACTACTTCCGGAGGTTTAAAATGATGCTGTATGATAAAATGGTAATCAATTATGTTGAAATCTTAAAGGTCCTTTATTTCTCAAAAACTGTTTATTTTTGGTATCTTGTTACTGTTTCCAAAAACATATTCGTTTGCTATATACATGAACTATCTTTTGCATCTTTAGTTTTGTTGGCAATTGGTAAAATAATAGTAAATTAGCAAATTGTATAGGAGTTAAAATTCTACTTTGTTTACATTTGCTACCTTAACAACACATAACTGCATGTTCAGCATTACTTTTTTCAGTTGTTGAACATTTAACAAGTACTTAATCCTATTTTTGAATATAATGAAACACATCTTTGGTAATTCATAAGAATTGAAAAATATGGATTTCATGGGCATAATGTGCCTTTAAATAATATTTGCTTGATTGTTAAAATATACCTCAATTTTAAACATTAATATGATTGCTAGAATTTGCATGAATTTGTCGGTTTTAAGTCATACACACACTGCAATTATGACTTTCTAGCTAAACAATATTCAGGCCCTATTTATCACCTGAGTATAACCATCGACCTTCTGAAAGCTGTTTGGATAGCTTCCTCAAATGAAAGAAATGAAAGATTCCATGATTCACATGAAAGTCCCTGATGGTTCAAACCCTATGCGGTGAGGGGCAAGAGCTGACGACTATGATGAGAAATAAATATTACAGTATTGTATATCGAGGAATATCTCTATTTTCAAATAAATTCATACAAAGACCAAATCAACAAAATGTAATATTTATCTTGATTGTTTTAACTGTTACATATATACTTCTTTCGTTCACTTCTTTCTTCTATCAATTTATCTATGTCTACCCTTTTTCATAAAATAGGTGCGTGTGTGAAAATGTAAGAACATTTCTTTTAATCACTCAAAATATTATGCATCATTTTATGAATTTCTCTAATTTTGTCAGTGATTAGGTAAAGTCCTTAAAGTAAATTGGTCTAAAATAACAGGTTCGAAATGTAATAAATAATTCATTGATTGTGCTGAATATCAGACATAGCAACAGGCCACGAAAGAAAATATATGGATGTTGTTGGCATGCGTGAGATATATGATTCGATATGATATATACATGTACTTATAAAGCAGATAATAGAATATTGCGAGAACAAAATATAATATAATTCTTCATACTTAATCTTTAGAACTTTTATCCATTCAATATTTTATTATAATTAAAAAAAAATATGCAAACGAGGATTATCTATTTGAAACACATTGGAAATTGAAAAAATTAGACCTCATTAAAAGCTATGGGGATTTAAAAAAAAACCCTTACCGATTTCCCTTTTAAAAACCTTTCCCGTAACTAATGCACCGGGAAAAGAAAATTAATTCGCTTTACACCCACTGATCTTTTAATTAAAAAATAAAAATCTTCTTGAAAAATTTGAGAGAACGGCCATTACTAGGCAAACAAAACAGGATAAATTACGAAAATGATACGATAAATTTACAAAACTTCCTATGTTCAATTTTTAAATATTATATTGCATTTGTTTTGAAAACAAATTAAAGTGATTTTAGTTGGCTTTCATTGTAAGCTCAAGATAAATGCAATATTGAAAAACTAAAAACCTTCAAGAATAGATGTAAACATGTGTCTTTTTATGATTTATCATTATTTAATAGCAGTAAGAATTTTACTGGGTATAAAACATTTATGGAAATAGCAGAAAAAGAACAAAAATAATATATATTATTTAGAGAATTCGAAGACACGTCATGCTTGAAGATGAAACAGGAAAACGATTACCTGCAAAAACAGTGTTCTCACTTGCTATTGAATTCCTGAAAGAAGATCTTTTGGAAAATTGTCAAAAACAAATAGCAGATGTCTTAACAAAAGATTATATTAAATGGGTTCTAACAGTGCCTGCAATATGGAATGATGGAGCAAAACAGTTTATGAGAGAAGCGGCAGAACAAGTTAGTTAACCTTTTCAATTTCAAAGCATATGTCATTGCCTTTTGTCATTTCAAATACTTTATTTCGGCTTTCAGTTCAGTGACATATGTCTAATATGTTGAAGTTAAATACTTTTAACATTTTTATTTATCCATATAAAACTTTAATCCAATCAACTTCTTCTTCTTTTAAAGACACATATAAATTTGTTAAAACAACATTGAATACTATACAGGCCGGCATTCAAGGATCGAAATTAAAGATTGCACTTGAACCGGAAACAGCTTCCCTCTACTGTCGATATTTACCCGTTCAGAAAGGCCAAGAAGATAATTCCTTAGCTTCATTCGAACCGGGGACGAAATATATTGTCTTAGATGCTGGAGGTAGATCTTTCAAATTTCTTTATTACATCTACTGTCATCGCGACTCAATTAAGTAACGATACAAGTGCTCAATTCTATTTTTCAACATTTTGAGAATTAATCTGACTTATGAAAATGTGTTTAATATTTTTTATGAAATTTTTATTGCGTTTATATGCTATATTGATCATGTCAATCACTTTTAAAAGTGTTGTTAAACCCGCCGCGCAATAATAAATATATATATATATTATTATATATATATATATATATTTAATATATATATTATATATATATATATATATAGTATATATATTGCCATGATTAGATAGTCATGTTAATGTAAGCCATGTGCAATGAATGTTTTACACTCATATAATGTAATATATAGGGGATATTGAATAAGTGTAGGTTTAATACTAAATTTATTGAACGAGTTGGAATATAATCATATAATGTGAGTCTCTGTCGAGCATATAGTTGTTTTATTCTGCTCGTTAAATACATTCAGCATTGAATCTACACGAATATATATTTATGAGGAAGAGCAGACTTTATTTATGATAGAAAAATAATAATGTACCTGCAGCATCGGTTTACAAATTGTACAGTACGTTTAAAGAAGAATGAAGTTCAATCAAATCATCTTGCTTTAAAACCTGTCTACATCAGGCAACAGTATATAATAAATGGGTTCCCCGTGTACTGGCCAGCTAAGTTTCAATACTAATCACTACAAGAATTTCCTGAAGCAGTGTAGAGAACTGTAAAACCTTCAAGACAGTTGCTAAGTGTGTATGATCCAGAGATAGTTTATGGACACGTATATATGCACCACCATAGTCTAAAGCTATCAAAAGAAGAGTGATTGAATTCATGCCTCTGGCAAAAAAAAATGCAAACTTACAGTCATATCGCCGAAAATGTTTTTGTCATGAAATTGCAAGAGATATTACATCAGTTATTAAACCAGTACATTGTAGTAGGTAAAATAATCATTTTATTTCAATGTTACTATATTGATGAAGTGTCTGACTTTGGGTGACTAATAAAGCCTTGTTTTCAGACATGCATGTCACAAACACATCAATGTATTGGCATAATAAAAAGGTATAAATTTAAAAAGAAATTAATATAAAATACATTTCACGCAATTTTCAATTATTCAAGATTCAAATGCTAAATAGTCATTAACTTACTATGGCAATTGCTATATATTTAATTTAATGTGCAGTAAATATGACTGTGTCATATTAACCAAAACAATAGTCATACGTGAAAATAAAGGAACAAAAAAGAGTTAACTTCAGTGTTTCATATTGATATGTTATCTCAAAAAAATTAAATGGAAACTGAACAAATCCAACTAAAACAAATAAGCAGATTATTGGATAATACGCTGTATACTAGTAGTTATATTTACGAATAATTTGTTTAGTCCATGGTTTTTTATCGTCTGTTGCGTAGTAACTGTAACCACATTTAGTCGGTTATTAGTGAACTATAAATTCAAGAGAGATATTTTAATGAAAAAAAAGCAAGACTGTTTTGTCAATTTATTTTCATAGAATTATTGGATACAAACTCAGAATCTTTAACCATCTATTTATATGCAAATCATGATACTGCAAACAACCATTTCTCAAAGAATGGTCTCGACTTGATGTCATATTACTTACTACTTGAACAGGTTTATTGATATTACACTACATATTCAGCTATATTTGTTATTGTCTCGTATACGTAAATATAACATAAGTTTATACTAATAACCAGACAAGCAACAGAAACACGAACATTCGGTCATTATTTATGTATACGTTTTGTTTCTTTTTAAGGTTTACACTGGCACAAACAGAAACTATATCTTCTTACGATGATTTTACCACTGTTTCTTTAATTATCGTTATGCTCCATTTTGGCAATATTCAAAAAACAAATTTTATTTTGGTCCCTTTTTTTAAAATATCGCAGGGCAAATAAAGAAATTAAAAAAGATATTTTTTACTCTAACTTTCCCAAATCATTTTATCTCAATTTTATTTAAGTGATAAAATAATATATAAAACTATTTTTATGTTATTTTTTTAAAGGGGGTAATTGATATCCGTTCATAAGTAGTAGATGGAAACCCCGAAGTTAACAAGTAGGGGGGGGGCCTGGGGGGACTATGGAGACAAGCTTCGAAAAATTCCTTGCAGATAAGCAGGTACCCGTTTTTTCTTTTATTTTTTATACAAAACGATTTGAATATCTAAATTTAAGCCCCTTTCCTAAAAAAGAAACGCAAAACTTTTTTATTTATAAAATTTGGGGCCCCCTCTACTTATAATTAAAAATATTAGCAATTTCCAAATACATATGTTTTGATGCAATCTCCCTTTTGCATTCTCGAATAGATAAAAAAAAAAATATTTATTTCGATTTATGAAATAACCCTTTTTCTAATTTTTTGTTTCCCCGGGTAAAAACTATGAATTTTCAAATTTTTTATTTGATAAATTAAAAGTTTTTAGCTTAAAGCATTTTTCTAAAATTTTTAATCAATTTTTAAAGGGCCCGAGCATTTTAGATTTAAAAAGGATAAGATGACTATATTGATTGTTCCAACGTTTAAGTCAAAAACGGAAACCCCCCAAGTCTTTGGCAAAGGACATTTCGATACCCCCATTATTTTCTGACCATAAAATTTAGAAATTTCTAAAGACCCAAAAAATTCATCACCTTTTAAGACAGTTACTTTTGGGGTAAAAATTTAAATTGATGCTGAAAGTCAGTCATTTTTTAAACCCTCGGGGATATATTGTTAAACATTAGACGTTATTGGAGAAAGAAAACAGGGATACGTATTTTTATGGTATGGATTTTTCAGAGTAACCATTTTTCAAATCTTCATGGGCATTTGGGAAAAAGGGCAAAGTATTATACCGACGGGGGTTTGCTTTGAAAGGCCTTATTTTTTCTCGGCCAACACAATCTCCGACGCATATGCAAGACAATAGGACAAAAGGTTTTCCCTGAAAAACTCTTTATTTAATCATCCCCCAACCCGAAGGGTGGTTATGGGAAAATTTAAATTTTTATATTTTTGAGAAACAAAACAATTTTGGAAAACTGTAAAATTTTGAAAAACAAATGGAATATCAACCCAATTTTCTGACCAAAAAAACTATTTATAGGAAAAAATTTTGCATCAAAAACGCCTGACCCCTGTTTTGTCACAACCAGGGTTTTACTAAAATTTGCCATTTTTTAAACCCATTCCCAAAATTTCACTTGGAAAACGGGCTATTTGTAAAGTTTATATTTGGGGAACAAGATTGCCGTAAAAGTGAAAAATAAACAAAAAAGGGGAAGTTCCAAAATTTTATTTTTATCGACCCTTTTGGGAAAATTTTTTTGTTATTCCTTTTCTGTAAGTGAAATTTTTTTTGTTCCGGGAATGTTTTTTAAATCAAACCCAAAATTTTAAAGTAAAAAAGTTGATTAGTTTCCCTTCCTTTCCCCAACAGGGAAAGAAAAAAAAATATTTATTTTTAACTTCCTTTAATTATTGCGAAACTATGATATAAGTTTATTTATTTTTTGAAGCTTGACTCTGAATTTTAAATTTTGGGGGACATTTAGGTTGCGAAGTTTGAGGTGGTCAAGTTTGTTGATCGGAAAATCATTTATTTAATCATAATTGTAAACTTAAATTTTTTTATAAACAGCGTCAGCCTAAAACAAAAAAACGCCCAAAAGTATGATTTTTCGTACAATTGATATATGTTTTAAAAGTATGTTTAAGAATTTTATATTTGTTAGCAATTTTCACATTCTTTTTTAAAGGTTTTTCCTGACTAAAATTCAGTATTGTGGAAGTTTTAAACATAATAAATACAAAGTAACATACCAATCATTATTGTTTTTTTTTTACTTGCAAGTTAATAAATTTAAAAAATTTTTAAGTTTATTATAATATTTTTTTTAAATCAAGGGCAATGGACTTCTAATGAATAAGCCCCATTGATTTCTAATGTTTAGTTTCATTATTCAAGTTAAAGTGATATATGTAGCTTAAGTAGATACTTTCCAATAGCTAACGAAAATACTTTTTTCAAAAAATGGAAAAAATTATGTAAATACATGTTGATTATTGTCTATAGCTGAATTACTATGTATTAACCCTAGACAAATTGTTGATCAATTGTTTGTTTGTTTGTCTCATTTATTTATCAATTTACTAATCATGACCTAATTATAATCACATAACAAGCATATATAAATTGTTTTTCATTGAATTTTTTAAGTGCAATATAAGGGATGAATTTTTTTTAAATTTTATCATCCGAAAATTAAATTAGGTTTAAATTATGTAATCAGTACTCGATTTTTTTTCTTCTTTATTTTTTTTTTTTTTTTTTTTTTTTTGAAATATCCGTATTCTATTGGTTTACGACAAGGAATTATTATTTTTTCTATTTAACGTCAATATAATTATATATAAAATGAACAGATCTTGTAAATTGTATACATACTACTTAAAGAAATGTTTAAAATTTGCCAATCCAATAAAACAGTTTTGTTTGAACACATTGGAATCTTTAAAGATATTGGTTATAAAGTTAAACATAAAAGTAAGCAAAATGATTTTGGGGGAACTTTTTTTTTATAATATCTATGCATCCCCAAAATGGGGAAAAAAAATCATGGGAAATAGAAATAGTGCAATGAAAATTTTTTTAAAAAAATGAAGTAAGATGCTTATCGCTAAACCGGGTTTTTTTTAATGACGGAACCCCTTTTATGTTTTAAATATATTGTATTTAAAGAAGTTAAAAAAAGTTTTAATGTTCTTTAAATTTAAAAAAAAAATTAACCCTTGATTTTTTTTAAATAATACTCTTTTTTCAAATTTTTTATAATTAAATATTTATGTTATGTTAATTTAATTGTTTAAAAACGTATTCAAATGTGTAGCACTTTTTTTGTATGGATGTTTTATCTATCTTTTATTTCAATAAAAAAGTATTTTTCAG